GCGGACTGCTGCAGATACTGCTTTGGTGCTCTGCTCAGTGCAGTAATTCTTCACTGAGTGTTACTGAAGTCCTAATATCAAAATATCCGTTCAGTTATCGAGAGCAAGAATTTCTAGGCAGTTTGTATGTACAGGCGGAGGTAGTCAAGGTAGGGAACAATCTTGAGTGTAATGTAAGCCAAACATTTAATAATAAGGCCTTGAGATTGAAATGTACTTTTATTAAACTGGAGTTATTTAACCTAAAATGCTGCACAGAATTTCAAACATGCATAAGCTTGGTATTATCAAGTCTGCTATGAGGCTGAAGATTTGCTTTGTTTTGTTTGTAGTAGGGGGCAATGTACACAAACAGTTTTCAAACAGCAGTGTAGAAGCAATAGGAACTTACTTGTGTGGCAGTTGTCGCCACCCATACCTTGGAGAAATGCAAGGATCTTTCAGATGATGACTATGTAATTGCTTCCACACACCCTAGAGGGAAGTTTCCTCCTGCAGTCCTATGTACTATAAGCTTTCCCACCCTTTCCCCCAGGTGCATGAGCTCATAAGTCTTGCAGACAAGACAAAAAGAGGGAGATGTCCCCATAATCTAAGCTGGGGGGCAAGTTTCCTCCTGCAGTCCTATGTACTATAAGCTTTCCCACCCTTTCCCCCAGGTGCATGAGCTCATAAGTCTTGCAGACAAGACAAAAAGAGGGAGATGTCCCCATAATCTAAAGCTGAGGAGCAACTAAGTGGAAAATTCAGTTCCTGCTCTACAGTCTTATATGGAAAACTCAGTGCTTGTGCTCTCAACTTCTCCAGATGATGTTACATTGGCTCCCCAAGAGGGAGGGAACTGAGCAGAAAGTCTACCTTCTGCTGTTTTCTTCTGTCCTCTGTGGCCCCTGCTCCCCTTCCCCTGCTTTCTACCTTTCTAATCTGGCCTTTGTGAGTTTGCCAGACATATTTCCGGCTGAGCAGGGATGGTTTCTCTGCCTTTATAAAAATGTTCTGTTCCTTGTGCTGATGAATAAACAGAATAACACAGCTTATCTCCTGATGGTGGGTTTTTTGTTTTCTCTTTTGTTAGGAGGGAAACAAAGGAAGGAAATACTAAATTTGAATTACAAGCTTATATAAATTATGTTTCAGAAAGTACACCGGATACAAGTTCATGTATTAAAGAAAACAGAGGTTGTAAAGGAAGTGTCAAGCAGCCTTAATAGGCAGGTGCTTCTGCTAAGTTTGTCTGCTGTTTCTCACTGTAAGGGTTGGTTTCCAGTCATTTACAACTCTGCCAAATTTTCTTTCCCTTTGTGAGGTCTCACCTGAGTTTTTGGTTTAAAATTTGCCCAGTGTAGAGGAGTTGTACCCAAGAAGCCAGGGAACAAATCCACTGTGCTTTTCAAACATTGAAGCAGCCTTTTGTTTGAAAAACTCAAGTGGCTCCATCCTTTGGTCAAGGACTCAGACTTGACACTTTAGAAGAATTATGACCTTTGTGTCAAGGAAATACTTTGAGAAAAATCTCCCTAAATCCCGAGTCATAGATGCTCACTAGCTACGCAACTCTGTCGTCAAAAATGTCCTGCTTCATCCTCGAGCTGAGCAGGGCCCTCTCCGTGGCTGCTGAATGAGAGCAGGAGGACTTGTGGGGTGTGAGTGCCGCCTACTGACAAGCAGGCAGTGCAGGAAAACTGCCTGGCTCAACAGGCAGGACCACAGACAAGGGAAGTATCCACCCGAGGGAGGATACTATAAGACTGAGTTGGATCTAGGTTAAGGGAGAGTTGGGCTGGAGGATGAGCTTACTGTGGCATTTGGGAAGGGATGGGATGAGAACAGATTTGGTTATTTGTCCTGACAGCATAAAATAGTAATAAAACATGAAGATCCAACACTTTTTGAGCTGTTCTTGGGACAAGACAGGAAGGAATGTGAATGGCTGAAAGGTTGAATGAGAGATACAAATGCGGTGGTAGTGACAGTTTTATTGGAGAGTTATACAGAGCTGTGAGAAGACCTGGGCTAAGCTTATGAGTACAATGCAACTGGTGCAAGGCAGTGAATAGATTGATGTCCATCAGAGCACACTTCTGCTGAGACACAGAGCAGAAGCCAAAATGCTTGACTCTAAAGCAGGTGGGGTGGAGAGGAAATAGGTATTTTGACAGAATGTATTAAATATGGCTGAGTAAAGAGGGATAGCTGGTGCTTAAAGGTAAATCAAGAGCCAAAGGAAAATGTAACACCTGCTTGTTACCAAAGCACCCTTCATCCTATGCCGTAAAACAGGGGAGGATGTCTTGCAAACTATTGTATCTATGTATGCAGGTGTGTGTGGCAGCAAAGAGAGGTCAGTAGAGCAAGGGTGCACTGGCAAACAAACCTGTTTCCAATATCTACGTTTATTGAATACGTGACTTTGTTGTCTTCATAATGTTCTCAGCTTTGTTGTACACAATGTCTTAGTTTCATTTGTTGCTTCCTGCCTATGACTTGCTGGAGCTGGAGCCCAGACTCCACAGCCAGCTCTTTGCAACAAGACACTGTTGTCAAGATAACAAATATTTTTCCCTCTGTGATTGGTTCAGAACAGAGCATTTAATTTTTTTAAAGCAGCCTATATTAATGGAGTGTTAGTGGTTTGAAGTCAGGTGCTCACAACTTTGCTGCTGGGTCTCCAGCCAGCAGTGAGGAATCCTGGCTTGTATTTCTGAGCCTGGAAGGAAGCTGCATTCTGAACCATGCAACCACCCGACATACTTGATCCAGTGGAAGAAGGTGGCTCACTAAAGACATATTTGGGGCTTTCTTAGAGATGTGCTTTCCTTGGTCAACTCTTCTGCTTAAGTAAGCTTTTTTTTTTTTTTCCCTAGGAGAATGATACTATGCTGTGCTTATTGCCTGTTCTTGAGACAGATTATTAACTGTATGGAGCGGCCATCTAGATCTTCTCCAGGATCCTAGCCGAGCCTGTCTTTCCCTCTGTTCTGGGAAAGAAATCTGATTGATGCTCTATTAGAAGCTTTCAATGTATTCTTGTTGCACAGAATTTTCAATAGTTTATTGAAATGTGAGACAGATGTTGCATTTAGGCACTCTGTGGGATCTGAAATTATGCTGCCATTGAGGAAGTATGCAGAAATTTCAGGACTCCCAGAGACCTATACTGAGCAGGGGAAATAGCTCTTTAAATGTCTTAATACCCTTCAAAATCCACATGAACCACTGTGGAAATAGTTGTAGCACCTTTTTGACTCCATTCATCTACATTTAGGCTGGGTGACCCAATGAGTTTGTTTTGCTACCTAATTATTGTGGAACATGATTGCTATTAACATTTTATTTTGCTCAGTCACTGAGGGTTAAAATGGTGGGAACTTTAAATGGGGAGCAGGAAGATGTTAAAATCAATCTAGATCTCTCTCTTCCTCTTGCCCTTCAAATAGAGAAGGAAGAAGGAAAGCTTTAGTGAATCGTGGAAATTTACTGTAGTGGGAAGCATATTGCTAATATAAAGCCTTGTTTGTCTGCAAGGGTTATTCAGGCATGTAAGGCAAGTACTCAGATGTTGTTTATCAGTGTTGTCTTAACCCAGAGGCAAAAGTTGAATAATGTGTGCTGGATGTAGGCAGTGGGGATTGTTTCTAACATTCTCCTGTGTAAAAATGACTGCTTCATTTACTTTGAAAGAAAGCAGGTTTTCATTGCATTTATTATTATTCATATTGCACCCTAAATATTTAGTCTGTAAATTTGAGATCTATTACAGTTTGTAAAAGAGAGGGAATAGGCTGTGAGTCATATTTATATCTGTAATTTTTGAGAACAGCTGAAGATGACATATCTGGGTACCTGTATTCCTCATCCTCCCCAGCATCCTCTTATTATTATGCTACTGACATAATCTTATAAAGCAAAGCTGGTGTTTCTATGATTCAGCAGTCTTGAATAACAGATTCTGACATTCTGCTGTGTTGATTTTTATATTGTTTTTTAAGGTAGGATGATAACAAATCAATGCACAATATTCCTCAATGTCACACAGTGCAGACAGCAGGCCTTGCGGGAAATCATTATCTGGACTGAAAATACAGCACGTATATTCAAAATGACCAAATAGATGAGAAAATAATTAATCCGAGCCCGTCTGCCTTGCATTTGCCTGTTGTTTCCATTTTGCTTGTGATTGGCTGGCAAGGGCTGCTGCTGGCATCGCACAATTGGCTTAGATGGGGAATTACAAAACAGGAGCAGATCCCTTGATTGGGACTCGGTAGCACGAGCAGCTGAGCACAGGCAAAAAAGAAAGGTCACCCGTACGCAAGGATTTGAGCGGGATCTCTCTCACAGATGTTTCCATTCCAGAGAAGCTCATCTGATCTCATTTTTCTCCTCTCTGATCTGGGATCTCGAAATGCCATAGGGATTTTTTGTTTCAGTGAATGTGAAAATGCACCTGGGAATGAGTTTGCAACCTGGAGGCATATGAGAATTACAAATGCGTGGAGCAATATAGCAGAATGATCTGAAGGACCTGCATTTTTAAGGTGTTTTAACTACCAGTGAGGAGGAAGACAATTCAAAGAGAAGGTGAAAAACAGATGCAAAAGGAAAACAACTCACTTTTGATCCTAAAATCATGGTGAAAGCAGCATGAGGGAGGGATTATATCAGCACCACAACAATGGAGAATGAAAGGGTTTTATTTTCATCTGAAATAATCGCTCTAAAAGAAATGTAAAAGTAATCTTTTGTGAGAAAGAATTAATTATTTTAATATGGTTTGAAGCTCTGTGGAACATATTTGGAACTGCTGCATCTTTCCAATGGTGTATAGTATTGCATATATGTATTTAATATGTTTAGATGAAGAAGATTCTGCACAAAAATCTCAAGCTGCTGGTTTTTTTTTAACTAATTTTCAACTAGTTTTTGAGCGAGAGAACCAGAGAAATTTAATTTGTATTTTTAACTAAACTTGCTCTTCTTCTTTCCTTATCCAAACTTAGTTTGCGAGATGCTGGAATTGGATTTATTCTTGTCATAGATCGCAGACAGGACAAATGGACCTCTGTGAAAGCTTCCATACTGCGGATAGCAGTGAGTACTGTTCTAATTTAACTCCTTAGAAAGATTTTCTGTGTTGAAACTTCCTCTTATGAGTAGAAAAGCAGCAATGACTTCTTCATAATGTTAGCTGATACATGACACCTGAAGTATCCAGTAGCACTTCTGTATCCCAGCTGACTGGGACTAAGCATCATGTGTCTGTGATGTGCTTTTAATGCAGTTTGCAGCTCAGGACATCAGCCTGAATATGCACTTGGAGAACATTTGTGTGCGTGTACCTGAATTTCTCCAGCATGCAGCTCTCCCAAGTGGGAACTAATATTTGCATGGGCAGCCTGTGCATCTCATTGAGCTTTGGGTCCACCTTTCACTATTCAAGTGAGCTTCATTTTTAGGAAGTGTTGAGGATATAAGGGTCCTGATTTAGTTTGCCACTTGTGAAAAGAATTCAGGTGTAAAAACTGATTATGTGGAGTTCAAATTAAAACAAAGGTTACTTGTAAGCAAGAAAATCTTATGTACCTACTATGATCAATCAACAGCACATGTGGTTACTTTGTCTCCTTTTAAAATCTTTTCAAAAAATGAAAACAGCTTATTAGAGGCTTTTTTTTTTTTTGACACAAGTAGGAAAAGACAGATTCATGTTTATCATCTGTTAGTTTGCTTGTTGGTTTTTTTTGTTGCTATTCTTGCTTGAATTGTTAGCATTGATAATCTTTCCAGTAAGTGCTGAAAAACAAACTGCAAGCATCTTTTATCTCATTTTTTATAGACGAACATTTTAAGGTCTGTAAAATAAAAGTCAAAAAAGTAAATGTCATTTTTGTGTAGCCCCATTTTGACCAAAAAACTTTGTTTATTGTAAATTAAAAGGTACTTATTTAAAAGTAGTGTATTACTCCTACTATTTGACTTTTTGCAAATGAATATATAATGGTATCATGATCTCACAATACAACTTTTTCCTCAGTAAGTATGTTTTGGAATATTAGAATATTTAAAAAATACAGAAATATTAGCAAAATTTGCTTTTGCAGCTCACTTTGAAATTTTGAAGTGCGGCATCGAACAGTTTCTAGTAGTGAGAGTGAGCATATTAGTCTCATCTTATTTGAGGAGAAAGTTTTGGTTGTTGGCTCATTTCTATCAGATCCTGCAGCATCTTCTCAGTCATCTTTCCCAGGTTTTTTTCTGATTACCTGAAGCAGTTTGACACTTCTGATTTGTGAGATCAGAGATGCCAGTGCAGGGTGCTCTTGCTGGAGCACTGCATAACAGACTGGAGCATCTGCCCATCACTAATATCCTGACAACTGTAGCAAATGTATTTGTAGGCGCTGAGCAGCTGCTAACCAGAAGCTCATACTAACATGTATTTTTAAATAATTATTATTTTATGTTATTTCCAAGAATCTTCAAACACAAATGTTTGGTTTGTACTAGTAGGTGTTGGAAGTATGTTTTGAAACAAAACTAAGGAAGAAAGAATTTTTCTTTCAGGCAGAAATTAATGTGGAAAAATCTGTCTATAATACTGAAAGATTTCTAGGCTTCATTTTTCCTACTTTGTTTTTTGGGACAGAAAATGAGCAATGATGAACTGAATTCTTATTTCATGCTGATACTTTAGGGTTACCATAGAGAGTCAAGGCTGTGAAGGCAAGGTAGACCTGTTTTTGCAGACACAGTGGAAGGGCAGCAGCTGCACCGTTCACCCAGGATGACTGCTGCTGAAGCACATGCAGCAACAGCAGAACTGAAATCAAAGCCAGAGGCACTGGGCTGAAAGATGACCCCTCTTTTCCTGGGGTGAGGCAGGGATTTTGGCAAGCATGTGCCCAGACATGCAGGTTTTGCTATTGTTATACTCTGCTTGATAAAGTTGCAAAGGGCAGGTGCCTGGGAAGTTGACCTCAGCCAGTGCAAGACTGCAGACTTTGTGGCTTGAGAGACACTGCAAATGATCACTTTTTTTCCTCTGATTTAGCAACCCCAAAAATGAAGTTATGAACTTAGTGCAGTCCAGAAAGGCATGTGTTTGGAGGATGACTTATCCTGTCTGAGATAGGTGGGATGGATAACATAAAAATACTGTTGACTATAAAGGAAGCTTAGCCTTTAGATGGCCTTTTGTTACAGAGTTCATCCCTACTGTTTAGTCTGCAGGAGCAGTCTGGCCTAAAGGGGCAGCCAGCTGGGAGGTGGAGTTGGCCAAGCTTTATGTTGTTAAGTGTGAAGTCTTAGCAATAACTTGTCATGTTCCTAGAGATGCAGTAAAAAACTGAAAGGTATTACAAGGAAAATGTTGAAATTAATGTCTATAAATACATGAGGGCTGGACATCAAGAAGGCAGGGACAACTTCTTTTCACTTGTGCCCTGTGATAGGATGAGCAGGCTCCCTAGAGATGTTGTGGAGTCTCCTTCTTGGAGACTTTGATTTGTGAGATCAGAGATGCCAGTGCAGGGTGCTCTTGCTGGAGCACTGCATAACAGACTGGAGCATCTGCCCATCACTAATATCCTGACAACTGTAGCAAATGTATTTGTAGGCGCTGAGCAGCTGCTAACCAGAAGCTCATACTAACATGTATTTTTAAATAATTATTATTTTATGTTATTTCCAAGAATCTTCAAACACAAATGTTTGGTTTGTACTAGTAGGTGTTGGAAGTATGTTTTGAAACAAAACTAAGGAAGAAAGAATTTTTCTTTCAGGCAGAAATTAATGTGGAAAAATCTGTCTATAATACTGAAAGATTTCTAGGCTTCATTTTTCCTACTTTGTTTTTTGGGACAGAAAATGAGCAATGATGAACTGAATTCTTATTTCATGCTGATACTTTAGGGTTACCATAGAGAGTCAAGGCTGTGAAGGCAAGGTAGACCTGTTTTTGCAGACACAGTGGAAGGGCAGCAGCTGCACCGTTCACCCAGGATGACTGCTGCTGAAGCACATGCAGCAACAGCAGAACTGAAATCAAAGCCAGAGGCACTGGGCTGAAAGATGACCCCTCTTTTCCTGGGGTGAGGCAGGGATTTTGGCAAGCATGTGCCCAGACATGCAGGTTTTGCTATTGTTATACTCTGCTTGATAAAGTTGCAAAGGGCAGGTGCCTGGGAAGTTGACCTCAGCCAGTGCAAGACTGCAGACTTTGTGGCTTGAGAGACACTGCAAATGATCACTTTTTTTCCTCTGATTTAGCAACCCCAAAAATGAAGTTATGAACTTAGTGCAGTCCAGAAAGGCATGTGTTTGGAGGATGACTTATCCTGTCTGAGATAGGTGGGATGGATAACATAAAAATACTGTTGACTATAAAGGAAGCTTAGCCTTTAGATGGCCTTTTGTTACAGAGTTCATCCCTACTGTTTAGTCTGCAGGAGCAGTCTGGCCTAAAGGGGCAGCCAGCTGGGAGGTGGAGTTGGCCAAGCTTTATGTTGTTAAGTGTGAAGTCTTAGCAATAACTTGTCATGTTCCTAGAGATGCAGTAAAAAACTGAAAGGTATTACAAGGAAAATGTTGAAATTAATGTCTATAAATACATGAGGGCTGGACATCAAGAAGGCAGGGACAACTTCTTTTCACTCGTGCCCTGTGATAGGATGAGCAGGCTCCCTAGAGATGTTGTGGAGGCTCCTTCTCTGGAGACTTTCAAGACCCATCTGGATGCCCTTCTGAGTGATCTGGTGCAAGGAGAACCAGTCACATAGCTTGGTAAAAGAGCTCCGTATTGTCCAAGCAGAAGTTAAGTGAATGACAAAAAAACAGATAAATTTACCCCCTTTTCCCTGTAGTCAAAAATTACGTCTTTTTCCCCCTCTTCTTTTTTTGTGTTCTCTCCTCATATTCATATACTCAAACAACCAATATTCAATCCACGGCAGTAGAAGCAAGGCACATTATTAACCAATGTGTTCTGGGGTTTCACACTGTTCTGATCATAGTTCCAGAGTGATTTCTAAAGAAAAAAATGAAGCTATGTCATGGCATTGTCTTTGACTCTGTTGTGTTGTCATAATTGTCTTCCTCTATGTTGAGTGAAAGGTTGAAGTGTGAACTCAACCATTTAGACAAACAAAAAATGGCACTAAGCATCATTAAAAGTTCCACTGTAGCCATCCATCAGCCTCATATTGAAAGTCCAGAGAAAATAAACTTCCTTAAACTTGGTGCTCAGGGAATAACATATGCCTGGGCAACTGCTTCTAAGGAAACAATATGGAGGTCACACAAGTGGTAGTGAGAAAGTTTTATCCAGTTATGAAACTTTGCAGTGCTTTCTAAATGTGACAAGAGTTGGGTTTTATCCAACCTTCTGGAGAAGTTTACTTTATGATTTGGCACCTTTGACTAAGGATGCATTACATGCAGGTTTCATGCCTTCTGTTTTGGACTGCATTGTTCAGAGCACTGTTTTTCTTAGCTCTTCATAAATTAAAACACAGTCTTCACTGTAACAGAGGCTTAGCCCATTCTGTGCTTTGAAGACTGAGGTCAAAGACCTGTAGCTGGCAGGAGAACACCAGAAGCCAGTGGAGAGACTGGAGTGCTAATACAAGCCTAACCTTGCAGGAGCCAGGCAGTCCCGTTTTTGTGCCATCTGGAGTCTTATCATTGATTTTATATCCAAGGTGAGAAACAGGGAATCACAGTAATCCAACCTAGAGTTCTTTGGCCTTGTTTGTGGAGAGACCATGAGTTTCTTAGTGAGTTGTTGATGGAGAAAAGATCTATTTAATAAGTGATGTTCCATGAAAGGCACTATTTTATATTATTGATAGGTATTTCCCACTAGCTCAGTTTCTAGCTAGCTCTTTACATCGTGTCCTGAAAGCTCTAATGACACTTAACCGTTTTCTGTGTGTGAAGTTTGAAAAAACTGTTCTTTTCATGTTTCTCATTTTTGCTTTCTTTAACAACACCACTAAAAACTTGATGGTATTTTAAAGCTAGAACAGAATTTGTATTAATTTTGTAGCTATTGTTATGAATTATTCCAGTAAATGCTGCACTAAAAAAAGGTT